CTCCTGGCCATGGCCACATCTTCCTTTCTGCCCGTCACAACAAAGAGCGGCTCCTCCCCGCGAACCGGGGTCTTGATGTAGGTGTTGGTCTTTGCCCGCAGAGCTTTGATTTTACAACCTGGGAACGAGAGGTGGAAGCAGAGAGAAAAGTAGGTTACAAGCCATTATGGGGGTGCAGCCAGAGAGGGGAAAAAAATCACCCCTCCATCAGGTTATAAATGGCATTTACTTCGCAAGCCCAGCCCTGATACACCCCCCAACACATATTGCAGTTGGCCAACAACATGTTTGCAGTGCAACTGACCAAATCCATACAACGTGCGGTTCAACTCAATAAAAACAATTCGTGTGCAGTGAAACTGGACAAGCAAAAATAAGCAGCCCCCGCCCCACAAAAAATAAATTAGTAATTCCACCCTCCTGCTAAACACATTCCTCCGGGGGGGGGGGAATCATGGGGTTTTTTTTTTTCTTTATTCGTTAAAGAAGGTAGGAAGCAGTCGCTGTGCTGAATGAGCCAGATTCCCCAATGCGGATGCTTTATTCCAATCCTATTGTTCCACTTCCCCACTCCATTTGTTCCTTGTTTTAAAAAAAACCGTGATTTCTAAATTTGTGGGGAGATCAAGACTCCGATTTTTTCAGTGCTTTTGCCACTGAGCTTTCTCTTTCGTGCAAGGAGAAAAAGACGGTTTTTATTTTTGCTGGTCGGTGAAAGTGCATCTTGAAATTGATGCATACTGCGCCTTAGAAGCACCACGTCTACTGCACTTTCTTTGTCTGTGGGGAAACCTAGTACTGGCCATAATAACACTGCAGCTTTACCGGGGACAGCCAGTGTCGCATCTCAGACACGGACCAGCCAGCATGGAGGGGAGAAAATCTTTCACACACACTCACATACAGTTACCCACCTTGCCTCCCCACTATCTCAGCGACATGCTCGGAGCTGGGCACCGGGACGCATTCTGTCATGTTCACGCTCTTTTTCCGAGGCTCGTTGTCGTAGATGGAGCTCGTCTCGTCGTTATCCAGCCCCAGCAGGGAGAGCTGATCCAGGGCTATCTGAAGGGCTCTTTGGTCATCCAGGGTCTCTCCCCCTCCACCACCTCCTCCGCCACCGCCGCTCCCGTTCCTCTCCATGTCTGCAAAAAGCGAGCTGGGCATAGTCCCGGTGTGTGTTCCACCCTCCTCCTCCTCCTGCACTCGGTTCAGTAGTAAAAGATCAGACACAAAGGAAAACCCAAGGCAGATGGCCAGCAGGAGAGGAGGAAAGGGAGGGAAGGCGAGTGCTGGAGACCGGGGATCAGTTGCCTTTTGCTTGTATATTTTGTATCTTTTTTTTTTTCAGTGCAATCCGGTTTATAAGATGTTTTCAGCACCCCCCCACGACTCCCCCCCCGAAGTTTTTTTTGGCTGGGGGTGGGGTGGGGGGAAGAACAGCGAGAGGAGCTCCGATGATTTCCCCCCCTTGAGTTCCTTGCTGGCCACAATGCCAAGCGATGGCAGCGTTTCTTTAAGGAGCCCCTCCCAGACTCCACTCCACTCACTCAGCGTTTTTTCCTCTTCTCCCCTCCTCGGTCTGACCTACTGCTGCAGCCAGACAGCACTGGAGGGGGGCGTGGGGGGGGGAATCAGGGAGCCGCCGCGTAAGCGGCAAGAGCTGACAGCACAATGCTACTGACACTATCGCTGTGTGAGGCGATTGGACAGGCACAGTGCAGAGGGGCCGGCATTAGGTTGGTTGACCCACTCCCTCTTCTTCCTCCGCCCCTCCAGGCAAACTCCTCTCTTTGTTGTCTAATGCAGAACAATAAAGACTCTCGACACTGGTTTGTATGGCTCAACCTTGCATGCATCACTTTCCCCACATTTCCCTTTCCTGTGTGTTAATTATTTTATTAAAGAGACCGACTTTAGTTTTAATCGACTGTACAAAAGGCCGGCCCGGAGGTCGATTAACCTAATGGACCATCTTCCACACACCCACCTTCCAAAAAGGAACCCACGTTTTTTTTCCCGTCTGCTCATAAATCCCTTAGTTAAAGGTGCTTCTTGGCGGGGGTGGGTTATTGTACAGCAGCCAGTTGTGTGCATTGCATTGGTTGATGAAACGTTTCCCCGGGCAGAAAGCAGCCACTGAGTGAGTTTCACACTCATCAATGGCAGAGAGACTCAGGGCAAGGGGGTGTGACAGCAGAAGCTGAAAGCCAGCCACTAAGGAGAACAATGCAATCGTCCTTTACACCGTGCGCTGGCTGCTAAACGGGTACTAGTCACACAACAGACTCATACTGCAATGCAACAACAACAGAGGAAAGAGACAACAGTCGATTTCACACCGGAGGGGAAATATATTGCATTGCACTCCTCCAAGCTAGTTAATAGGAACAGCCCCGGTGCGGCAACATCTCACGGTAGAAAACTCCGCTTGCAACAGGGCTGCAGCCCAAATTCCCAGGTAGGTCTGGTGTTGCCGGTCGTTTCAGTACAAAGAGTCCCAGCCCGGCTGCGAATATGCCGAGGAGACAGAAGAGCGCAGCCCGCTGCCTCCTCGGACCGGCTGGCTTTGCGCCTGCGCCCCCCCCCCAGCTCGGCTGGCGCTGCTCCGCCATGCGCACTGGGCTTCCACGATAGGGTTAGGGGTGAGCCGACTCCTGCCGCGCTCCACGCAGACAGCGCGAGCCGGCGGCGAGTGAGGAGCTGTCGGCGCGGCGCGGCGCGGCTCCTCCAGGGCAGCTGCTGGAGCGCGCCCCTCTCCGGGAGGGGCCCGCGCTCCCCAGGGTGGGAACAAGGCACCTCCCGCGAGATTCCCCACAGAGCGGGCGCAGCGCCTGAAGTGAGAGCCCCCAGGGAGGGATCACAGCATTTTAGGGAGATTCCAGGTTGGAGGCGCTGCGGGGCATAGCACCCTAAGAGAGATAGACCCCCCCGCCCCCCCCCCCAGCAAGGAGGTGGAGCACCTACCAGCCACACACCCCAGGGTGGGGGAAAGCACCCACAAGAGACACACCCCTCCGCGTGGGCTTAATTCTGATAGGGCAGGAGTGCAGCGCCTCCCCTGAGACACAGCCCCCATGGAGGAGTATAGGGCCCCAAACCCCCTGGGGAGGGCAAAGGGGGAACCATGCCCAGTCACAGCCTTCCTGGGGAGGGAGAACTCCAGCCCGGGTGCGTGCTGCCTACCCAGGACACCTGCAGTGAGAGCTCCCCCATCAGCCCTGGGGTGCATCGCTTTGGGAAGGGCAAAGAGCTGGCCACCCTGACGCTTGCTGGTCTGCAGCCTGGACTGGTTTGCACATTACTGAGGTTCTACTGGACACTTCTTCAAAGTAGAATTTTTAAAACGGATGTTTATTTGCAGTGACCTTAGTGCGACAGAGGAGAGGAGTGCGGCGCCCACCCTATGAGCCACCTGAGAAGAAGGAGATTACAGTCCTATGCCCTATGGAGGGGAAAGGGATGCAATATTTGCAGTGAGATGGCTCCTAGGAGGAGAAATGTGGCCCACACGGAGACAGACCTCACACAGGAATGGGCCACCGTGCCTGCAAAGGGCCTCTTCTCCATCCTAATGATTTGGATCATGAGGTTTAAGAACAAATGCCCCTTGGAATAGAACAGCACAACAAGCACAAAAAAATGCCCTACCGGTACAGCAGTTGGAAGGAAGAGCTGCTTCTCCAAGACGCCATCCCGGCCTATCCTGACAATCTCATGGAGTTTGTGCATCTTGTACTTTATGAGATTATTGTTATACAAGTGTCAGTGTGTGCTGTATGAGTCACAAATAAAACCACGCTTTCTTCATCAATCATCCTTCTACTTGTTCATTATCATGCAGGGGTAAAGCCAATCATTTACGGTCTACAATGTGACTGGTAAATATTTATGAAGTGGCTTGGCCCTGTAACTTTAACATTTCTATTTAATAGAATCAAACTAGAAGGAAAACACCAAACATGGCAAAATGCAAATAGGTAAAATAGTGCCTGGAAAGGCAAATTGAAAGCAAAGCATATTGTGTCTGCCTGCCCCTTGGATGATGATCTGTTGGAATTGCTAGAGACATGTTTGCATTATCTCTTTCAGTGTCTCCCTGTTTGATTTGGTTGCTTTGTGCTCAAGTCCTGCCCTAGGGTCTCACCCTGACCAGTCACTAAAGCATCATATCCACCTAGTACCTTATTAGGCTTCAAGATCTTCTGGTGGATGGCCAGAAAAGTGTCACTGTTCTCAGAAAAATGCCACCATTCACTTACTTATTTTTATCCTTCAGTTTTTGTAAAATACATCTATAGGCACCCACATTTGCTCACCCAGTTTCCTTGCCAGCTGTCATGTAGCACAAGACTGACTTTTTTCTGACTTCAGGGAAATTGACTAGTAATTGTTTTCCAGTGTTGCGTTTGATGGGCACAGACGTGTAAGTAGTGTGTCTGTTTAGCCAGCTGCCTGTACAAATAAGTGTAACAAGTCACAGGTAATTGTTTACACCTAGGGTTTATTGCAAATTGCTGTCATTTCCTCAGGATGTTTGCATGTTTTATAGCAAAGCTCCAATGGCCTGTTTTCTAGCAAGGACATACTTCGAAGAACGCTACTCTACAGTGCCTGTCCCGCTCCCATGGCCTGATTGATTAACAATCAATTTTATTGACCACAGTAAAAATGAAATAATGATCAGGATCCAGGATCTTTCCCTGGGTTTCATGACATGTTCGAAACACTCCCATTCAAGAGATTGCTTATTTTACACATTTGTTATTCACTGCTATGGATACCAGTGATGGGTTTCATAGGAAAAAAAATGCATAGATAAAGACATTTCTTATAAGATCTCCTCAAGGTTCCCTAAACTTCTTAGCCATTTCAGTATTAGACATCTTTTTAGACACTGTGAGATAAACAGGATGAACCAGACATTTGCTAATAATGCATCCATACAATAATTTGCTAGTAATAGCAAATAAAAACAATACTTTTCTCTTCTGTAAGGCTCTTCATCCCAGGAGCTCAAAGTGCTTTACATAGATGAAAGATCAGTATCTCTGTGAGGTAGGGAAGTACTATCCCTATTTTATAGATAGCGAAACTGAAACACAAACCGAAGTACGGAGGTGAAATGATTCTCCACATATCGGGGGCTGAATAGTGGCATATACAAGGGGGTGGAACAGCAGTTAGTTCAAAAAGGTGAATTGGTATTAGCAGTGAAATCCTGCAGTGCTTTTCCTTTTCCCTGACTTTTAAGGTTTCACATAGTAGCATAAGCGAAAGGATCACTCATAAAGAGATACTAGACTAGTGCCTAGGATGCCACCTGTTCTTTGCATTTTTATGTGATTTCTTTCATCATTGTGTAATCCTTGCATTTTTTCCAGCATGGGCTGAGCCTGCTCTCTGACTGGGCTCCTGCCCAAAGGTGAGAGAGACATGTTTTGTTACTAGCCTTTCCTGCCCCACATAATAGGGAAAAGAAAAACAGTCAACTCTAGGCTTATCTGCCCCCTCTAAAGCGCATATTCTACTCTCAGTCAAACTAGGGTTTGAAATGGCTCTAATTTTATTTTTTACCCTGAGTCCACAAACTCAAATTAGTTCAGCCTTCTCTGCAGAATGATTTTGATACGTCTAGTGCAGGTCATTTTCTGGGGACTAATTACGAGGCAGTGTTTCTAGCCTGCCATGAATCCCAGAGAAAGATCCTGGATCTTGAGCATTATTTCTTTTATACTGTTGCAGGAAACATTTGAGAGTAATCTACTAAGGGAGAAAAAAGCTACACTGATGTGCATTTGAACATGGCTACACGGAGAGAGTGGGGAGATTCAACAGGGTTCTATGGAATCTGGAATTCATACGGTTGCGTGCTTGTATGGTAGTGACCAAAATATATAAGATTAATGTGGATCCTCATTCTTCTATGAATGCAAGGCACTGTTCAGGGTCAATTCAGTCCCTTAAAATAACCAAAGACACTAAACGAAAATATTTTTGATGTGCATATTTCATACCATAAAATTCTAAAGCACAAAAACTCTATTCATACGGAATTACTGGAAAGCACCTGCCTCTGGGGTAAATGCATCAACCAACCAGTTTACAAGAGGGGAGGATGCATTTTGGTCAAGCACATTGGGGAGTGCGGGGGACAGAATGTCATTCTCAGCCCTTTTAGCTTCTCTGTGCTTCCATTTCCCATCTGTAAGATGACTTAATACTTGCTTTCTCCAGCTGTTTGTCTTGTCTAGTTAGATGGTAAGCTCTTTGAGGCAGCAGTTGTCTCTTGCTGTATAAATGTACAGTATCTCACACAATGGAGCCTTAAATTCATCTGGGTAGTCCTATAAATATAAATCATTAATAACATTAGGATCTAATGTCCATTCCATTTTTTAAAGTCTCATCTTAAAGAGTACAGTACCGTATCTCAATTCAGGCACTTTAACCAACAGGTATTTCAAATTTCAGATTTACACCTCTAAACCATCCCCTCTGACTCCATGTATATTAAAAAGAAAAGGAGGACTTGTGGCACCTTAGAGACTAACCAATTTATCTGAGCATAAGCATCCGATGAAGTGAGCTGTAGCTCACGAAAGCTTATCCTCAAATAAATTGGTTAGTCTCTAAGGTGCCACAAGTCCTCCTTTTCTTTTTGCGAATACAGACTAACACGGCTGTTACTCTGAAACATGTATATTAAGACAACACTACATGTATACTGTATTTTACGCTAATGCAATTACTGGAAAAGTCTTTGTGCAATAATCTTGCAAATTAACATCCTTAGCACTGTGGGCCAGATAGTCAAATCAATTTAGGAGTGCAGTTTTGTTCATAATTTATGTATGCAGCTCCATAACACATACAAAGGAGCTTGCAACAATTAGCAATCTGTAGCCAAACAAGTTTCGCCATTTCTTAAAATATGCAATAGTATTTATGTCAGGATTATTATTGAATGCTTATTAACCTACATTCAACAGTGAAATCACAGAATAGTATTGGGTCAGAATTTATTTTCTTTTAATGATGTCAACTCCACCCTTTGACAGTTCTAGATATTTACAAACAGCTCATCCCAGAATCTAACCAACTGCAACTGTAAATATTTATCAAATCATGTATCCACAAGTTATTCTTAGGGTTCCAGACACTTTACACTATGGTTTGTGTAGAGATTTTTCAAACTATACTGTCGTGGAAATAAACTATAAGAAAGCAACTGGAAACGCAGCAGTTGCTTCAGTTTTGTGAATTCCGTATTTATATAATTAACTTTCCTTTAATTTTCAGAACACTTTGTCCAAATTAAAAGCAACCCTTTAGGGCAATTTCTGAAAGAGCAAAAATAATCCCCAAACCATAGAATGGCAGTGGGCTGGTAATGGTCACGCTACCACATTATCTGTTTGGAATCACATTAAACAAAATAGAGCTGTGTCTCTCATCCTCCTACTGCCATAGATATGTTATATATAAACGTCTTTAGGTTAACAGTTTTCCTGCATGGATTTGGTTTCAGAAGATTGAAGTTGAGACACACACTTTAAAAAAAATCATATACTGTATTTTCCTTTATATGCATTTTTCCATTACGCGGCTAAGAGCAATGGTCAGGGTGTTGTAATTGCCTTGTAAACTTACAGTTTTGCTTAAAATGATTATACGTGAAAATCATGAAAACCACTTCTGAAAGGATAAATGCACCTTTACAATAACACATAAACGAGCAACCCAGGTTGCCTGCTTACTTTAAATTCTCTCCAAGTTTCAAAAGGCATCCATCATTTTACATTTTCCTCATTTTTCACTTTGAACATTGTAGTTTAAGCAGAAGAACATAGTAAATTAATGCATAGTAAATTTAAGTAAAGGAGAAAGTAATAATAATATTGGCAAGGGGTTAAAAACTAAGGGAGGGGGAATCCCCTCTGCCCCTCTTTGTATATTGTCTGTTTAGGGCCCATTCCTGCAGACCCATACTCGTGTGTGGTCCTGTTGAAATCAATGGCAGCACACATGTACATCAGGGGTGCAGGATCAGGCACTTAGCTTCCAACTTCCTTGGGCAAAGAATCTGGTTTATTCTTGGGACCCAAGAACCTCTGAATGCCAACTGGCAAAGGGGTTCAGAGAGGTTACAGAAATCTCATGAGTCTGGTGTGTACATTCTAATTCACCAAAGAATGTTATGCGAGGTCTCAAAGCCAGTGTTACACTGATATTTCACAATGATATTAATGTATATACAGATACTATGTAAGGAGATATGTATATACAGAGACTGGAAATATGTTTTAAAGTCTGTATCCAGTTATTAGTCACAAACAAAGGTGAAAAACCAGTTTTTCTCAAAATAGGAAATAAAAAATGTGTATCTCTATGTCAGGATGTAAATTAAGCATTGTAAGCTAACACAACAGATGCCCATTTATATACAAAGACAAATCTTAAATGTTAATGTTATAAACAAAGACAATGTTAAAGTCAAAAGGGAAGCAGCACACAGGAAAAAGCAAACCACAGGGAGTTATCCTGTCTAAGAACACAGACAATAAACTTTGGGGGTATTTCTGGAAGCAGACACCCTGGTACACTGCACTTAGGAAGTAAATGAACAGCATGCTTGCTTTCAGAAAAATGGGGTTTCCACCAGCCTTGGTTGAAAATGCTGAAGTGGACTCTGAGTAACAAACATTTTTAGATAGAAGGTTACTGTTAATTATGTTTAGAGGTGTCATAAATATAAAGGGAAGGGTAAACACCTTTAAAATCCCTCCTGGCCAGAGGAAAAACCCGTTTACCTGTAAAGGGTTAAGAAGCTAGGATAACCTCGCTGGCACCTGACCAAAATGACCAATGAGGAGACAAGATATTTTCAAAGCTGGAAGGGGGAGAAACAAAGGCTCTCTCTGTCTGTGTGATGCTTTTGCCAGGAACAGAAAAGGAATGGCGTCTTAGAACTTAGTAAGTAATCTGGCTAGATATGTGTTAGATTCTGTTGGTTTAAATGGCTGATAAAATAGCTGTGCTGAATGGAATGTATAGTCCTGTTTTTGTGTCTTTTTGTAACTTAAGGTTTTGCCTAGAGGGATTCTCTATGTTTTGAATCTGATTACCCTGTAAGGTATTTACCATCCTGATTTTACAGAGGTGATTCTTTTATTTTTTTTCTTCAATTAAAATGCTTCTTTTAAGAACCTGATTGCTTTTCATTGTTCTTAAGATCCAAGGGTTTGGGTCTGTGTCCACCTATGCAAATTGGTGAGGATTTTTATCAAGCCTTCCCCAGGAAAGGGGGTGTAGGGTTTGGGGAGGATTTTGGGGGGAAAGACGTTTCCAAGGGGGGCTCTTTCCCTGTTATATATCTGTTAGACGCTTGGTGGTGGCAGAAATAAGTCCAAGGGCAAAAGGCAAAATAGTTTGTACCTTGGGGAAGTTTTAACCTAAGCTGGTAAAAATAAGCTTAGGGGGGGTTTCATGCAGCTCCCCACATCTGTACCCTAGAGTTCAGAGTGAGGAAAGAACCTTGACAAGTCTCTAGAAAGCATGTTATGATTTTGTTTTATAGGTAACCTTTAGTTTCCAATATCCTTTTTATCTCCTGCATCTGGTATTTGATGATAAACTTATTCTTGTTTTCACTATAAATATACCTCAGTGCTGTGGTGTTAAGCAAAGTGCTGGTCCTGAGCTGAATCTTACAAGCTGGTGTATATATTGTTCCTTTGAGAACTGCTGGCCTGGTGGTTCTGTGAGTGTTCAGTGATTAAGGGAATGGACAAGGAATGCTCAGAGAGGGCTCTGGGATTGGCAGGTGCCTTTCACTAACTGCATAGAGGGAGCAAGGCCTGTGAAAACCTGGAAGGCAGTACTTGTGTTGCCAGAGGCTATTGGTTTTAGGGAGCTGATCCACAGCAAGCACAGAGAAGGTTCTTTATGCTAAGGACAGGTAGTGGTGAGGTGCCTCATATCCCTGGATACCCCTGGGGAATGTCACAATTCTAAGACCCTGCTCTTGTGTTGGGAGCTGCCAGCATGAGCCCCTGTGCCATTAGAAAGTCCCACTGAAAGCCCAGGGGCTCCCCAAAAGCATGAGAGGGTCTACACTTACCTCTCCCAATGCAGGATTTGGGCCCAAATCAGTAGAGCACCTAGCATGTTCTTGGGCATTGTACAATAAATAATAATAGATTTTGCTTTAACAGGAAAAAAAAAAATTCTGTGTTTTTATGCGGAGCTCAGTCTTTTCCTCAGTTTTACTCTCTGGAATGGTAGGTCACAATTATGGTGATATCACATGCAAAAACCTTTGTTTTCTTCCCTCGTCCCCACCACCTTTAAGAGTCTATCAAGAAATGCAGCATATAATGGTTCCTTTATTCCTGCTTAGAGAGCAAGCACTTGGTAGCAGAGACCATCTCTTTGTTATATGTTTGTACAGTGCCTAGCTCTTTAGACACACTGCACTACTACTAATAGTAAGAGGATGCTGTAATAGAGACCCAAATTCCCTGATGGGATCTAATTCTTGCCACAGTACTGCCCTTTAGCTTGAAGTTCAGTCATATATAGATGGGGAAGGATTATGAGTTAATTGATAAGACTTGATCATCATCAGTTTTGGTGTCCACACAAAAAATTATTTTAAAAAGCCTAGGTAATGTACTGCACAATATATAATCAGGGGATGGGAGGAGGGAACCCCTGAGCCTGTGTGTATCCAACTGTAATGCCACTCTTTCTTACGATAGCATGACATCCCTCAATTCTGAATTGAGTTTCTCTCTACTGGGACTGGTCCTTCTTGACATTTTTCCAGGTCTGAAGTAGATGTGGGCCTGAACCCAAACCCTATATGTGTGCAGCCCTGAATTTAAGAGTGTTTGAAGTGTGGATCTAGGTCAGAATGCTGGATATGGGCACACGGCAGTTCTGAAGAAATATACTTCTTTTGTGAAACTCTCAATGCCCCAAAGGATTTATGGCAGCCAGAATATCATTGGAGTTAAGCAGACGGCTCAGGGGAACGATGCCATTAATAATTAATACTTCGCTAGTAGAAAATTGAGCAGTATTTCTGGGTAGTTGAAAGATAATGTTTTTCCTGTACAAAGATTCCCCCATACCTGTAACTCTTCCTACACTGGATGATTCATTTTAGCTCTGCATAAATAACTGAAAAAGAAACCGGCACTAGATGAGATTTGCACATCTAAAATTGGACATGTACAATACGTCTCTCTCTCTCTCACTGGCCCAGCAGATGCAGAGCACGTTTATATAACACAGACATTACTGTCCCAGCAGAAGCTGGAGAGTTTTGTGAGACACAGACGCTACTGTCTCCACAAATCTGTATTTTTTGGTAAAATTTTCGTACCACAGACACTACTGTCCCTACAGTTCTGCATCTGCTGGAGAGTTATTGTTCCACATACTCTTCTACCCCAGCAGATGCTGAGAGACTGCAAGAACGACAGGCAATTTTTGTCACCACAGATCCACATCTGCAAGGAATTAAATTGCCACGAACACGCCTATCCCTGCTGATCACTAAAGCCATCCACTACTGATAGGGAGGAAACAAAATGAGTCAATGAAACAATAATGCAGAGAACCTAGAACCCCAATACCAAATCTGCCTGCTCATTAGAATCAATGGCTCTATCCTTCAGGCTATTTCAGGAAAAAAGATTTGCTTTGTTTTTAACTACGTTTGAAAGTTTTTAAAAACGAACATTTATTCTGAAAAGCATTGAGGGAACAAATATCTGAAGGCTTGTTTATGTGCCAAACCAGCAGAAATACAAGCTGTCCATCCCTAGTATGTTAACTTTAACCCCATGCTGCAGGTACACGTCACCTGTGCTAGCTCATTCCCAGCTTTCTTTTGAACAGATGCTTCCAATTGTGTAGGGGGTTTAGTGAGGACAATAATATTTAGGTCCAGACTCTCAAACACACCTGTACCTTTCGCACATGTCCATTTTAAGAGGACAAATACACAATGTGCCTCCTTTAATGATTTTACATGCTTAAGGTGGGAACACACAAGTGTTTCAAAATTTGGGCCTTATTGTATTTATGCACTTCAGATGAATTTGATCCTTCATTGCACTGGTGAAAGACGACAGTAATAAAGAGGAGTTATGGTTTATGTTAGCCCTACATTATCATGGCCTGCCCCCTCCCCTCATGGAGCTGGAGAGGGCTCCAGTCCTCTGTATTTTTAGTCATGGGCCTTGAGCAGATCCCCGGAGATTGATGTGGTTTGGGGGTAACATCCCCTATTCATTTTGCAAGAGGCCAGTGGGCAAACCCTACACCCCAGTACAATGATTTGAAGAAATGCTGCAAAGGGAATCTCAGAATTCTCTCTTCAGGGTGTTCTTGCCCTTAGTTCATGGGTTTTTGGTTGTTTTTTTAAAATCTTCCTCTGAGGCATCAGGAATTTTCAACTGGGAAAGCCAGGGGAAGAATACCAGATGTAAGAGAGCAATGGTCTGATACAGCACAGCAAATCCTATGCTCCTTTGGAACTGATTGTGGGAAAGTGTTAAGATTTTGGTTATTCGGCCAAAGCAAATGACATCTTAAGCCTGGTCATATACTTGCCTGTGCTATCTTTTTCAGATCTCACGGCCTACTGGTTAGTGGCAACGGTCTCATGTTTGATTAATTCCGTTTACTGGAAATCCGATATTCACATGCTTCGTTTAAGGTTTGTTTGTTTATTTAGCCCTATCATCCCAATGTGCACTCATCTTGTGTTGCTTGTATGTACATTATTTCATTTCGAATTTTGGAAATGCTATCTTTACCAGAGTTCATTTAGAGAACAATTTCATCAATAGTGCATACTAAGGAATTGGCTCTTTCCAATGCCCACTGAACCCTTAGTATTTCCCCCCTCGCTCCTGAAAAAAATAAAAACAGATGGGATTTAGAGAGAGAGATGATAATGTTGTCTTCATTCCAGGGTGTGTGGAACCCTAGGCTGGAACAGAAGCCACTGAGGAGTTTTGGAGTTAGAGTGAGTATTAAGGGTGGATTCTAGCACACATTCACTTGAGCTTTGTGCAATCCAGAGTACGTGAATCTCACCCAGAAAGAAAAATCTCTGACTTCAGAGAAGAAACAGTGTCCTTATAAAAGCTGGCCACCTATTTCCTGAACAGATCACACTGCTACATTTACTGTGGGGATTAATATTCATTTCAGCATGAGTGATAAACCAACATAATTAGGAGAATAAACTGACTGCTAGAAGATGTCAACTCTGCATTCTTTTCCTGATTATGAAATACAGAACAAAAATATGTGTTTTTAAATGGCATTTCTTTGTACCAACAAATGAAGGAGAAAGTTTCATTTTTACTTCCTGAAATTAGGTTCAGAATCATACAAGTTTTGATTTTCTTCCTTTATGCTGAAATGCAGGTTTTCCAAGCATTATGGAATAAGTGTTACTATGGCAGCCTGGGTGGGGTCAAGTCTTGCATAGCGGACTGTGTGTTGACATGCAAGCTATGATCACTACAGATTCCAATGCTAAGAAGTCTCATAACTGTCTGAAGATACAGTCGAATCCACTTTTCTTTCATCTCTAGCTGAAGAAAATAATGGGAAGATTTAAACAAAAGCCATACTTATGAAAAAAGAAGAGAGGCAGGTAAGCCATTTCCTTGTTAATGTTAACATGGCTTAAGTATTTCTGCAAATATTTATCACCATAACAAACTAGAAATATTGAAATTTTCTGGTCTAGGATTTTGTCCTTTTACACTCCTGCCACCTCATTGACTTTAACAGGCTCACGTGGATGTAATTGTGGACAGGAGTTTGTCCCTTTTGGTGTAATAGAGATTTGAGCACAGCAAAGTAACACAGCTCAGGGGAGGGGAAAGAAGGAAATAAAGACACTAAGTAATTAAAGATTATTTTGAAAAAAATGGTACTGACCTGTGGGCCCTGGTTATGTTTTTTGTTATATTTTAAAGCATTTTAAAGCTTGCTGGAATTGTCAGATGATTTGAATAGATATCTGTTTTAATTTCCAACCCCAGTAACAAGGAACAGCTGCTATCCTCCAGCATGGCCCAAAATAACAACTAAAGGCAGTCACTGAGAAGTGACTCTGAAAATGGCATTGGAGGCTTTCATTTTTATTGCCTTTCAATAACTCAGACTTGCTCACTTTACAGTATAAAGAGTTGAAACCTGCAAAGTACCTTCCCTCTCTCCCCCACACACACCAGTTTACACTGACTCCAACAAGAGCTGGGGGTGCTCAGCACCTCAAAGGTGAGGTTGCACAAAGATGTTTATCCTAATTGCTAGCACCTCAAATGCCCTGTGATCTAGAAGTCAGGCGAGGTTCTTTCTGGCTCATGCATCATCATCAGGACTGAAGAGTCTGTAATCAAAGCATAACTGACTTGTACTTCTCAAATCTGCCTGAACAAGGACTCCTGGTAGCCACAGTTCCAGCTGGAGAAGCTAGAGTGGGAAATGGATTGTGTTACTCCCTATTGCTTCCTGTGCAGGGTGGTATACATTCAGAGGGCAGTGGCCTGACCTGATGGCACCCATGAAAAGACAGTGGAAGGGAACAAACAGCTGGCACCCCAAAGAGCTTAGTGGGAGGTTGGAGGTCTGAAGGTCCCCCTCCCCAAAAAAAGCAATGGTGGGTGGGGCATTTGGGAGGGAGAGTGCTGTGGACATCCGGCAGAAAGACAATGCTGTGGGGAAGGTGGATATATCACAATGATATATGTTGCCATGACATTTTTGACCATTTTGGTTCAGAGCAAAGATCTACATCCAGACAAAAAATCTCAGCACCATATTCCAGTTCTGGCAGCATCCTGATGGGGACATCACTGAGTCAACCCATCTTCTCGTTTACATGCAAGGATCAGATCAAACCTACTTTTCTGATCATAATCCCACTCCAGGTTTAGTCCTAGAAGAACATCTCCTTTTTTAAAATACTGCAGTTAATTACCACGATGCTGCTTGTTGACAAGCTGTTTCTGTTACAGGAATAATGCCCTGCCTGGTTCAGATTTTACTTTCTGTACTTTGTAGAAATTTAGATGAAGTCACCATCACTCTGTCCCAGGAATATCATTAATCTAGATAGGGAGGTATGAAGTGTACTGTACATGTTGTGTCATGTCACTCTAAAGCATAATGTCTCAGATGAATTGTTAAGAACACATGTACATGTTAAACAGAGATGCTATCGTGTAAGGATAGATAATTTATTTATACACAAATAATCCGTATATTTAGCATATCCAATTTCCACGTTGCTCGTTCAACATCCCTTTCACATTTAATCATACATTGTCCTGGCTTTGTATCCTCTATTCTTCACTTTACACTATTTTTCCTCATCACTTCCTTTTTTGGGGAAAGTTTTCCACTTCCTGTGCACCACCCAGTACTTCTTGCAAATCCCTCCTCAAAACCCACTTCTTCTGTGAAACATCTCACCTTTGATCTCATTTGTTTAATGATTAAATATATGTGTAGGCTTTTCTTTTCTATTACATCACTGTAATATCCGAGTCCCTCATGTAGATTAATGAATGGATCCTCACAATAGTTCTGTGAGATAGGAGAATCTTGTTATCCCCATTTTATAGATGAGAAATAGAAGGACAGAGAGATTAAGGCCTACATTTTCAAAAGTGGCCTCTGATTTTGGGTGCCCAACTTGAGACACTGACGGTCTTGATTTTCAGAGGCTCTGAATACCACAATGCCTATTGTAATCAGCACGATTTATTTCCTAGCCCCACCAAATTCAATTCCACATTTCACCACAGAAACACACACACACACAATCAATTTACACCCTGAGGGGGTAGGTTGATAACCATAGGACACCCAAGAATTATATTGGTGAAGGATGGAAAAGGCTCTGACCATATTTGACTTATGCCTTAGATGCTTATTTGTTGCCTAGAGAAGCTCAGACCTCAAATACATAGCTGGGTGGGGTCAGAAGCAGGCCACAGGCCCATGCAGTCAGATATGACATCCGTACCCTATTCTATCTACTGTTAAATTTTATTGTCAACTGAGGGCAAAATCACCATTATACCAGAAACCCAACCAATCCCAACCACAACCCCCACCCAATCTGCAGAAAAATGAAATCTGAAAAAATCCCCTAAAGCAGGGACCAGAGCTCCGTCCAACATCCCCGTGAAAGTATTATATTTCAGGGACAAAATTCTGCTCTCCGTTACTGGTCTTGCATATATATGTAGTTTCAGACAAGCCAACATGTCAGGACAGGACAAAAATCTTCCCCATTGAAGACTTCAGACTACTTTTTTTTCCAGTTAAGTTAATCAATATTCCTGAACTTTCCCTTTTCACTGGGATTGCAGATCACTGCGTCTAAGGGCAACCTGCTTAAACTGAATTGGAGAGGGTTCAGAGAAGAGTCACAATGATTAAAGGATTACAAAACATGCTGTCAAGGTTCCTTCCCCACTCTGAACTCTAGGGTACAGATGTGGGGACCTGCATGAAAGACCCCCTAAGCTTATTCTTACCGGCTAAGGTTAAAAACTTCCCCACGGTACAAACTTTGCGTTGTCCTTGAACAGTATGCTGCCACCACCAAGCGTTTTAAACAAAGAACAGGGAAAGAGACCACTTGTAGATGTCTTCCCCCAAAATATCCCCCGAAGCCCTACAGCCCCTTTTCTAGGGAAGGCTTGATAATAATTCTCACCAACTGGTACAGGTGAACACAGATCTTAAGAACAATGAAAAATCAATCAGGTTCTTAAAAGAAGAATTTTAATTAAAGAAAAGGTAAATGAAGCACCTCTGTAAAATCAGGATGGTAAATACTTTACAGGGTAATCAGATTCAAAATGGAGAATCCCTCTAGGCAAAACCTTAAGTTACAAAGAGACACAAAAACAGGAATATACATTCCCTCCAGCACAGTTTATTTTACCAGCTATTAAACAAAAGAAAATCTAACACATTTTCTAGCTAGATTACTTACTAACTTAACAGGAGTTGGAAGGCTTGCATTTCTGATCTTTTCCCTGCAAAAGCATCACACAGACCGACAGAACCCTTTGTTCCCCCGCCCCAGATTTGAAAGTATCTTGTCCCTTCATTGGTCATTTTGGGTCAGGTACCAGCAAGGTTATCTTAGCTTCTTAACCCTTTACAGGTGAAAGGGTTTTGCCTCTGACTAGGATAGATTTTATAGAACTGTATACAGAAAGGTGGTTACCCTTCCCTTTATATTTATGACACATGCCTTCTATATCTATTTAGTTTAACAAAGAGAAGGTTAAGGGGCGACTCAATTACAATCTGTAAGTACCTACATAGGGAACAAATATTTAATAATGTGCTCTTCAATCTAGCAGAGAAAGGTATAATACAGTCCTGTGGCTGGAAGTTGAAGCTAGACAAATTTAGACTGGAAATAAGACATACATTTTTAATGGTGAGAGTAATTAACCATTGGAACAATTTACCAAGGGTCATGGTGGATTCTCCATCACTGACTATTTTTAAATTGAGATTCGGTATTTTTCTAAAAGATCCGTTCTAGGAATTATTTGGGCCTGTGATATACAGGTGGTCAGACTAGATTATCATAATGATCCCTTACAGCCTCAGAATCTGTGAATCTATGAATGAGAGACAGAAATCTCTTCCTCAAAACTCTTCTGAGCTATGTTTACTCTACTTCTGGGAAGGCCCCAGAGCTCCACCCTCCCTCCCTCCACTTTCACTACAGCTCATGCCACTGTGGCTTGAAGTCAGTGGGGGCACAACCAGGAGTATACCAAGAAGAGTCTAATCTGCTGAAGAAGTCTGAGTTGTGCAGGTATTCAGATTCGCAGTTGAGAGACATGTCTTCCCCTCCACCCATCTCCCTCTGGGCTAATTTGCTTCCTGTAACAGCACACAGACATACTGAAAAGAAAAACAATTAGAGAGAAACCTGGAAGGGACTGATTAAAAGCACAAGCAGCAGAAGGCCTGATTCCTCAATCATTCATGTTGGGCAGTATTTGCATAAAGAGTCCATGTGGATTCAGTGGGACTGTTTGTGTGAGTAAAAGTGCTACTCAGCCCAAGTAACAACTGCAGAATCAGGCCCCGAATAAACAAGCACGAACAAACAAGAACAGGGATGGCCCCAAATGAATCAGAGTGAACACAAGCCATGGATCGGGAAGCCTCAAATGAGAGATTGCTCCCATGCACCCCAATTAAAAAGTGTCGTTAGCAGTAATGGATTCCTCCATAAATATGCATCAAACCTATTGGTAGTCACGCCTGTCCTCTTGCTTCAGGGAACACAGACTACACCACAAAAAGAATCCCCTCCTTCCCCCCTCCTATTTTCCGGCACTGAAAAAAAATAAGAAAAAAAATCTAGCAACAACCAACAAAGGCACAACTAAAGCAGTAATGGAGACTAACTGAGCTGGAACAGTTGTTTTGATGTTAGTCAGGGAAGGGTGGGGGGTCCAATCAGAGGGAAAGAGAAACATGTTCATAGGAGACCCTGTAACCTTTCACAGGGAGAAGAAAAAATGCATGACTGTTTCTATCTGATGAGATGGGGAAACAGCAACAACTTTACAGATGTTGCTTTCAGTGAGTAACAGCACTGTGGGTGAAGGAGTGACGGATTTGACCAAGGGCCTGGTTTACAACAGATGCTCACTTCTTTTCTTCCATTATAAAGCACAATCTCTCTCTCTCTCTCTCACACACACACACACACAATCGGATTTCCAGTAGCTGTATTGTCCCATTTCCTGAGAGCTGTTGCTGCAACTCTCAACACTGCTTCCATGAGACAGAACAATTCTAAGTTTATAAATCATTAAAACAATGCATTTATTTATCAAACGTTGGCCACCCCAAAGATAAAGCCGTTGTCTGGCTAGAGAGGCAAATCCGATCATTCTAATGAACGTATGTATTTGAAATCTCAGGGCTCATGCTAGTTGGATCTGTTTAAAATGTTTCCAGTTAGGTTTGTCCACAAGCTTCAAAAAGAAAATCAAAATATGCCTCTCAAAGTGATGCGATGATGCTTGTGAAACAGAACTGCTAACTCACATGAGATCAGGGACTGAATTCAAAGCTAGGATGTTTTTGAGATCATACATTAAAGATCACAGAACTGTTATAAATCACCTCAAACTTTAAACATTTGGCATTACTGACTTAAAAATGTCTCTGAAAAACACATACCACCACCTACTGGCAATTATGAAAATAAATTATTTATATATATGGATACACAGATACATACACACACACACAAAGGTGCATTAAAATGGATATGACCTAAAAAGCAAGCTTTATTTTTACATTATTATTTCTGTACATAAATGTATTCCTGTGTATGTGGCTTCCACATATTGTAACAAAATAGATATATTTTAAATGGAAACTTACAGAAAAATAGTAGAGAGACAGGGCAGGCAAAGTAATATCTTTTATTGGACCAACTTCTGTTGGCAAGAGAGTCTGAGCTCTTAGAACTCTGTGTAAGTTCAAAAATTGGTTCAACAAGATACGACCTCACCTACTTTGTGTCTCTAATATCCTGGGACCAACATGGCTACAACAACACTGCACAGAATAATAATAGTTTATTTTGAAGCTATTTCACGTGTGAGGGAGCCTCTTTCATTAATGGATCAGTGGAACATATAATTTACAGTTTAAAGCCATTTCTGAGTTGTGGTGAATTACTGCGCTGAACAACAGAAAGTTGGCAACAGGGTTCAGGGCCAGACATAGTGGGCTTTATACTCTCCTCCGTTCCAGCACACTTGTAGGCACAACATTTTCTCTCCACTAACTATGCAGTAACATCTGAAATAGGAAATGGCTGGCTGGAGGGGGCCAGCACATGGGAACAATCACTCTAGGCAGCACATTCCACTCTGCATGCGGTGTATGGAACACTGCTATTTGCTGCTCAATTTATTGCTGTTCCAAGAAGCACTGCATCTACCCCTGTTTCCTCTGACTCGCACAAGGTAAGATAACATGAGCATTTCTGCTGCTAAAGAACTACCGGTGGTAAAGCAACTGAGCAGGCTCTCTTGCTGCTGTCAAGAGGTGCTGTAGGGTAAGGGGCTACGTGTGGATGCCAAAGCCCTTTGACACAGTTTTCACCATCTGTGCCATCCAACTTTGACCTTGTATTTGGCTGGCCATATCCTCTGTCCCTTGGGCACCCACACTAGCTCCCAGATTCCAAGGGGATGTTGTGATACAATAGTGGCTCCTGAAAAGCCTAACAACATTTGAGGTGAGAGCTTCTTTTCCACAGTGAAACACATCTTGAGCAAACTCTCTGCAAGCTCTCTCCCTTCATTTAATTTCAGCTTTCCAGATGGTATCAGTTCTGATCCACAATACTCTCTACTGACCCATTACTGAGCAGAGACTGCCAATCAAACCACCTTATGTGATGGTTTTGTGGTTGCAGGCTAGGGACTAAATCAGATTTCAATCTGACATTAATTCACAGCACCACCTAGTCACCTAAAATTTACATATGAAGCACATATACAAGAATATATACACTATATCCCTGTGCTCACACACAAATAAGCAAGGATTAACTAAATGTAATAAGACAAATGGTATTAAAAATTGGACCACCAATTGCAAAAATTGATTTCCAGATATGAAATCCTGCTAAAAAAGCAACCATATACGCTGTTATTATTCTACCAGCTCTAAACAATTTATCCAAAGATTTTAGCATTTTATTTTAATATTTTTATTATTACTCACCCAATTTTAAGATCTGGGTGAATAAGTCCCAATGGTATATTAATGTATGATTTTTTAAAAATGAAATATTTGCAAAATTATTTCTTTCATTATCCACCCAGCTCTTACCCTTATACAAAGATATTCCTTCTGGCAAATATTTGACTAGCTATACAGTGGTCTTCAGATGTGCTATGCTAAAGGATGACACCCAGTAGCAGACACACTGCTCTCTCTTCAATATGTGCATTACAAATAGTATTTTAATTGGGTTTGCAATTCATGAAAGCTGGAATGGGCTTATAAATCAGTTTAGAAGCTGAAATACAAAGCAATCCATTCACAGGCTGAAAAGCTAAAGAATTTGGTGAAAAAAGGATGCAGTGTGGGTTTGTGAAAAATTGCTATCAGTGGGGGGAAAATGGGAATTTATTTCTTGTGCCTAGCTGTGTCAGTCTACAGTTGTGTTAAGGAATTATTCAGGTGAGCCTTATTGCAACTATAACATTGCCTGAAATAGGGCATGGTTCCATTCAAAAACTCCATCAAGAGAGGATGCTCTTCTTGAAAAGTTTTCTTCAGTAGGGGGTAATTACCAGCACCTTTAAATTATTGTGATCTTTAGCTGAACTCTCTTTCTGGAAAGGAAAAAGAATAACATCTCATTTATTGTGTTTCAGGGATTCCATTTAATGTGCGCTCAATTTACATAGCCAAGTTTTTTTTTCTCGTTGCCAGCCCTGCAAACTCAGCCTGGGAACCAAGTGTCCAATGAAGTTATCTGCTTATTGCACATCAGACCAGTTAAAAGTTCTGCAGGCCCTAATCTACACATGTGCAACTCTGTTATCTTCACATCATGCTCTCAGTGTCACTTGTACAACCTCATTGCTTCCAATAGTTTTCACAGGTGTAAGTGATTGGAATTCAGTAAACTTTCTGATGCACATGGAATCTCTCTCTTTTTCTGCTATGTCAGTTGTAAACAGCAGTAAAAAACATTTTACTCACTAAAGCAACCAAATATGACTCTGAACACACAGAAGCAGCAGGGTTGTTGAGTAAGAAGGTGCCATTTTTACATAGTCACTTTTCCAAGTAGAATTGCACTTTAACATTTTTGTCTCTCTGCTCTCTATGTGAAATCCATAAAATACACAAATGAAAGACCGGTTCAGTGAAGGCAGAAAATGCCAGGGTGTTTTTCACTGTCCTGAGGCCAAGTGCCAGGGCCCTTCTGGGACATGCAGAAAGTCTAGTCACTGTATCTTATTCAAGAGAAAAGCCATCTGTCAACAAACTAATCACTGGACGGATTCAGAAACAACTGAAAATGAAAAGCCAATACAAATGTGCAGATGAGCCTTCAGTCAGATGCCAGGGATAGAAAACACGAATCCCTTCCGCACAGCATGGCATTTGGATCCAGCCATTTCCGTCTAGAGGGGGAAGCAGAGCAGTGACAATGCAAAATGAACATCCAACTATGACCTTTTAAATCAATCAATATAATCACGGAGAGATAAGCCCAAGCCAAAGTCCTATATTCAAATACCTCCTGCATCTGCCAGCAGCAAAGCCAAGTGTGAGCGGATGTGCTACCACATGCCATTTAGAACTGGAGGAAGCTCTACCCTTTTTTAATTTAAACCCCGGCTGATACAGGAAAAATTGATGTTTAGTCCTGGTCTGACAGCAGCCTTAGAGTCCTATTGTTCTATGGATTTTCTCTGCTGAGTGGCTAACCCTCAGACTGACCACTGTGTCCAGTGCTAGCCAGAAGCTGGGAGCACCAGTTTCTTCACTCGTCCCCTCCCTTATTCCCATCTTTCCTCAATGGGAGTCTCTCTCTCTCTCTCTCTCTCTCTCACACACACACACACACTTCTACCAACTTCCTCTACAGAAAAGGAAAATTAACTTTATAGCCACTACTCCAGTCCCTAGTGCTTTGACCAGAGCAGTGAAGGTTACCATGGATGATCACATGTTTTGCATGTGTGTAGCTTCAACACAGACCCCTGGCTTAAGATGCACTCCAGCCTCCACTTGACAAAGGTAATCACAGAAACGTAGGACGGGCAGGGACCCCAATAGGTCATCTAGTTCAGTCCCCTGCACTGAGACAGGACTATGTATTATCTAGACCATCCCTGACATGTGTTTGTCGAACCTGTTCCACAAACTCCCTAGGTAATTTGTTCCAATGCTTAACTGTCCTTATAGTTAGGAAGTTTTTCCTAACGTCTAATGTAAATCTCCCTTGCTGCAATTTAAGCCCATGGTGATGATTTTTATTCGTATTACAGTAGCAGGTAAAGGCTCCAGCTGAGATTAGGGCTTCATGGCGCTGGCATGGAACAAATACACCGGGAGAGAGACTTCCTGCCTCAAAAAATTTACAATCAAAACAGATAAAAGAGACAAAGGGTTAGGGAAAGGAAATATTATTACCTACATTTAACAGATGAGAAACTGAAGAAGAGCGTGATTAAGGCCCTGATCCAGCAAAGTGCCGAAGCATGTGCTTGAAGTTAAAATGGGACTGATGTGCATGCTTAAGAGCTTTGTTGAATCAGAGGGAGGGTCACACAGGAAGACTGTAGCAGAGCTGGGAATTGAACCCAGATCCTTTCTCCTATTCCAGGGCCCTAATCACAAGACTTTCTCCTGAAAGGAGAATGTGTTTTATAAAATCATCCAAAGTGCACTTTTGCCAGGTTATTCTCCCCATAAGACAGATAATGCTTTGTGAAGCAGATCCTTCAGTGAGAGAGAAAATGTGTGTGCAGTCACTTCATTTCCTGATCTTGACTTTATATTTGCAGGTGGAAGATTACTTCAGTCATTTGAATTCTGCACCAACTCTGCTTTCCTAGTGGTAGAAATATTGAACACCGCTGAGAGAATCAGGATGATTCAGAACACCAGACCATGCCATGTTAAATATACAATATACCTCAATTTCAGCAACGTTTAAAGAAGAGGAATTTCAGCCTTGCACTAATTGAAATCAACCTGAAGCAGTCAGAGCTTTTTGGAGAGCTAAAATCATAATTGCATTCCTAAAGGCAGCACCCTGTGTAAAATTAAATGTACTTGAGTATTCTGAAAGCTTGACTAATGCAGTAAATGATTGGTCCTTGAGGATTGCTGTAGATATTTGTCATTCAGCATGGAATCAGGTCAGCAGCTAAAATTAACTACCCACCTCTTACCTGTACAGCATATGGAATCGCTGCTTTTCGTTCTGCTCAGTTTGGGGCCTCCCAAAATGGGTTCATTCTTACTGTGAGCCTAAATTATGGATAATCAATTAATACTGACGGACACCAATCATTCCTATTGTGTTGGGAATCAGACTCTCCCTTTGACTCCAGTCTGTATTGATTGGTTCTCGGGCAGCCTGCCATTGCTGTTTGCTGCCTCCTATTCCATCCCCTGTTAATCTGCCTAAGCAAGGCCTGCAAGCCCTACATAAATGATCATTTCTCTTCATTAGTGTGATTCTGCCTGCATGAATTCGGTAACATATGGGATATTATCATAAAGCAGCCTATTTCTCCAATTCATTTTCTCCTTTATGAAGATTATTAAATGTACTGCAAGTGTATTGGACACAATAAGACAGGAGATTCTACTGTATAGTTTATCGCTGATTTCATTTATCAAATGCAAATAGCCTCCCTTTCCCCAGTAACACTGTGCTAACATATTATAAAAGCTGCTGACTCTCCCTCCTTCATTTCCTCTAATTTATTATGGGTCTGATCTGTAATGCAAGGATGAGATTTTAGTGATCAACAGAACTAGCAGATACAGTCTGATGGAAAAACTAGAAGTACAATAACTGTCTAGTCAACTCTAATCATCGCCACAATCTGACTACGCATGAACATGAAAGATAATCATTTTGACGATGGATTATGTACATTCAAAAATGTGCTTTATACCCCTCTCCCCTTCCCCGATTTCCTGCCTATTACAAGAAAGAGCAAATAACATGAGTCTGCTGGGGTGAGTTGTTTCCATGCTACCACTGAATGAGCACTTTGCTTGGGAATGTTGTGAACATCGGTGTAGTTCCATCTACTTGTGAGATTTATTAATTAGTAGGCGTGTCTCTCCATTTAATAAGATGTGCATGCCCTCTACTGGTGCATATATGCATTTTAAAGAAAAAAATCACATTCTACACATCTAAATTGTTTGATAACATAAATCAGGTAAGAAACAATTCTTCAGTGCATGCAGCTGCCCATTGCTTTCTCTGAGTGCAGTACGTAATCATGTGAATTCAAATTATTTTACTAGCTCCACTTTGATCCAAGTTAACTGTTTTGTCATTGTTTGCGATTATTAGTTTTTTTAAGCCTGGTCACTTATGCCATTATTGCTTGGGTTTGATTTAGAGGATTAAAAACAGGTCATTGTGGTTCCACGTCACATGCATTTTTAAGAGGATTTTTTGTATTCACTGTTCCTTTAAGAGGTGCGTTGTATGAGTGGGCAGAGCAGAGCCACACAAACCTCGCGCTACTGACTACAGACGCATGGGCTGAGCTGCTCCTGAGTCTTCAGCTACAGCAGGACTTCAAGAAAAGACCTCAGCTTTCATGGATTAATCTGTTATCAAAAGCTGCACTAGCTACTGGGTAATCTGCATTAATTACCAGTAACAAAAATGCAGCAAGCCATTTTAAGCAGCAGTTTGCTCCTTAAGTTGTTTCCACCACCGATCCCAGCAAAGATGATGAGGGTTCATACATACGACGATGTAATCTTTACCCTGTCCCCATCTCTCAGGCCTTTTACAAACATTTTCATTGACCTATATTGGTAAGCAAAACAAAAACAAAAGTTGAATTTTAAACAGGAAAAATAGAAGAGAACGTGGTGAATCCCACTGGAATACCTCTTTGAAAAACTGGTTTCATGCTTCACTAACAGCAATAAAAACAGAGTGGGTGGTTGAGGCCAGGGCTAGAGAATTGCTCTGGTGTAAACTGATCTGTTCGTAACAGGTGCACAAAATCATTGGCACAGTTGCCACCTGCAAAAATGGAGAGAATGGGTTAACCATAGCACATCCAAAGGGAAACTCAGGAGTGAGAGTAATTGAAGGCTTTCCAGTCCAAGGCAAATTAGAAGTTGCATGAATTTTAAAAGCTTTTCATCTACAGCACTAGACTAGCAGAGCGCAATGATGACTGATGCACTGACCTGCTCCAGTGATGTTTGGGTTATCCGAGGAAATGTTTATTTAGATGTGTATCAACGAGTCCTATCTTTTTTCTTTTAGACGAAGTTACTTCCTGCCTCTGCAGAAGTGTCTGCATGCGGGCTAGAATACAACTCCTGCACAGAGGAAGAATGTCAACAGTCATTCAGTAGTAAAAGGTACCATCTTTAGGCTTCATTTCCACTGTGTCCTTGACTAGACTAGGAGAGTAGGTCAAGTTTGAAAATGTGTTAGTGAGAACAATTTTTAACATGACTTTGCACCTAGTGTAGACATATTTGAACACCTCTCAAAAAGCATTAGTTGGGCATGATCAGCACTGGAGCCAAGAGAAAGGAGCTTAGGGGCAGCCATGACCAGAAGACACATTATGAGAAGTGCTAAAATGTATCAATAGTAGGGGAAAAGTCATGTTTAAAATGGCGTTCGTTAACTCCTGTTAACCAGTATGTTTTCAAACATGACCCACTTCCCTCATCTAGATAAGGCCTGCATAAAGCCAGGGTAAAGTGTCATTTAACCACTGCCTCAGTGGAGTCTCTCTTTTCTGCACGTACCCATTCTCTTTTCAGATACTTGTTGCTGGCTAGACCGGCTTTTCTGGTGGAGCCATGTGACTGGCAGGGTAGCATACAGTTCCTATTAGCGTTAAACTGAAAGTGATCCCCATGCCTGCTCATTTAAACTCCTTCACAGCAATGGTTGAAGTAGAACGCCTGCTTACAAATCAATTCTTGTTAGGCTTTTCCATTCCGGCAGCGCTTCCTTCTGACAATGCCCTGTCTCTCTCAGTGGTAGGGGTGTTTGATTGACCTGGTTGAGGGTGCAGGGCACATAACTTTTGGCACCAGTGCCCTCTCCCTTTCCTAAGCCCTGCCTTGAGTGCACATGAGGATCAGATATAGGCAAGGGCTGAACTCCACCTCCCCTAGCCACCCATTGGCCAAATCAGGGGGGCTGAGAGAGCTGATTAATTGCAGCAAACCACCACATCCCCTTTGTATTTTAACATTCCTGGATACATAACAACCATTCTTGCTACTGAAGGCTGCCTCATCCAATGTGTGGTGTGGGTATCAGAGCAAGGTTTGCAACTTTGCTGTGAATGTAACCCCAACATCTTATGGGGTCAGGAAGGAATTTTTCCTTCCAGGAAAGGTTAGCAAGGTGTCACCTTCACACAGCATCCTAGAGGCCCGATAGGTGAGGATAGTAAAGATAAGACAAAGCATCTTAAAAATCAGCTTGGGGGCAATAAATGTCAAGAAGCGTTGTCAAGAGGCTTCCTGGGCCAGCTCCTGGGGTAAGCCTGAGCAGGGGGCCCAAGACGCCGCTGGACTCTTTTTGCCTGTAAGGAACAGCAAGCCTTAAGTCTTTGTAGACACAGCTCCCCATCATTACTCCCGAGATGCTGGTGGGATTTAGCAATGTGCTAAATCATTAATTGCAAGAGTTTGGGTAAAAGAGACACCCTTCATTCCCCACTTGTATGGCATAAGGCCCTTCTCCCCTTCACTGGACCCAACTAATGGCTGGCAGTTTGGGGAGACGGAGTTAGTCCCCACTCCCTTAATATTAAAGTTTATAAAGCTGGAGCCTAGTGTGTCTATATGCCGGTTTCTCCTGTGTCCCCTGCTCAAACACCATGTTTTTTATTCTTTTTAGTCTCAAGAACAAGAGACGAACTTCATTTCCTGTGAATAGATCTGGCTCAGCTAGTGGTTTTAAGTCTGATCCTGAGTTTAGTATGGAACATAACACTTAACAGCACTATTGTTTGTACCACTCTCTACTAAAAGTCAGCAGCAAATCAGAACACTCATTGCAGGCATAAAGCTTGATATTTAAAAATAACGATCTCATTACTTAAAGATCAAAAATACATTTTTAAAGTGAATTTACTATACTTATTAATGGGGACAGATGGATAACCCTGGAGAATAAAATCTTCTTTATATCCACCTACCAGCTGCAATCTGAGCAGTAGGAGCTGCCTGTTTCCACCTCACTCCTGTTCCGGTATCACATCTAGGAGTGCAAAAGTAGTTTGGTATCCATGTCCATTCAATTATATTATTATTGGTATTACAGTAACACCTAGAGCAGTGATACTCAGGGTTTCAGGAGCCAAATTAGTGATCAACATTACCCAAAAGAGCCACAGTAGTGTGAATTCACTGTTTCATTTACTATAGTTCTATATATTCCTATTTAAAACAGAATGACAGGAAATATTTAGTTTATATAATAAAATAATAATACATAATAATATGTATATATTATTCTCAAAGCAAAATGACTGAAGTATTATTATTTTATCAACTACAATTGATTAGTAACATAGTAAAAGCATCCTGATTGGTTAATAAGAAAATCACACAATGTTTTAGTATCATATGCTGCAAAGAGCCACTTGTACATCACGAGCCTCAGTCTGAGTATCACTGACCTAGAGCCTCCGACCGATTTTGAGGCCCCATTGTGATAAGCATTGTACATGCACATAGTACGAGAGAGTCCCTGCCATGAAGCACTTACAGTGTAAATAGACAAGAGCACACATTCAAGTCTTGGGCTTTTGTATGAAGCATGCCTATTAGTGCCGATGTGGATGTGTGACATGAAAATCTGTCTCCTGAGAACCAGATTTCACAGCTAGTGAGCAGCCCTCAGATAGGGACTCTCTTAGGCTACTTCTGGCCTTTTGAAGAGCAAATGTTTTAAAAGATGATGAAAGTATTAAGTGAATCATGCAGAATAGTCTGAGGAAAATAAGTTCATTTAGTCTTGCATAATGCTGCTTGTAACATGCTTAGGTATCTCTGGCCTCTGGGAGTCAAATTTTCCACTGCAATATTAGGAAGTTACTTGGTCTGGCTATTGAGTAATAGGGAAATTGTTTTCTAGTTTGTGCCAGCTTCTTAATCTTCAAGAGAACACAGACTCGTCAACAACACTGAAGAGTCTGTTGTAGTGAGATGCAGCCATAAGAGTTATGGGGACTCCTGCAGGGTGGGACGGGGATCAGGTTTGTGAGGCAGCAGTATGTAAAAAGAAAGTGAGAGGAATATGAGGAGAGGGATTTTTCAAAGAAAAAACTGATGTAGTTTTTAATGCTGGGCTAAATGAAAGAGGCATTTAGGAAACTTTAACAACAAGACTTGCAGAATGCAAGAGAATTATTCTATTGTAGGACTAGCTAGGAGAGAGACGGAGTGTGAAAAAGCCACCCAGTGAATAAGTTTGTTATTTAAAACACCAAAACAGCTTTCAAAGCTAAAGAGCCTAATTAAAATAATCAGAAGTGTGACTTTTAACTAAGTCTTCATCTCCTTCATTGCTGCTTCAAGAAGCTTCTTATGTCAGTGCAGAATTGAAGCAAAAAAAGACATTGCATATGTCTTATATTAAGGTGATAAGCGTCAGGGAGAAGTGATATGGTGCAGCTTTCCATCCCCAGCTAGATGCAAAATCTAGATAATTCCAAGACACCAAGGATAGAGTTTTCAAAAGTGCTCATCATTGGCCTAACTCTGTTCACTGGTAAAACTCACATTGACTTCTATAGGAACAGAGTTAGGCCAACACTGAGCACTTCTGAAAATCCCACCCAAAGACATTCTAGGTATGTCAAAGGAAGGATTTGAAAGTGATGGGATCAGAGGATCTAGAACAGTGGTTCTCAAACTTTTGTATTGGTGACCCCTTTCACATAGCAAGCCTCTGAGTGCGACTCCCCCCCCTTATAAAAACACTTTTAAATATATTTAACACCATTATAAATGCTGGAGACGAAGCGGGGTTTGGGGTAGAGGCTGGCAGCTCGCGACCCCCCATGCAATAACCTCATGACCCCCTGGGGGGTCCAGACCCCCAGTTTGAGAACCCCTGATCTAGAACTATGTGGATCTCCTGGGCCATCTACTCCTGCAGAGCTGCACATAAATTGCAGGGGTCCTGAGCCGAAGACATCCTCTACCTCACATTTAGGATGTGTGCTGGGATCCTGAACTTGGGCCTTTACAGGACCTGCAGAGATGTCAAGGAAACTTTTAAAAGTATTCTGTCCATAGGGAATTCTGCTGCTCATTTGCAGATTACATACTCTTCCCTTCATGAAATATTTGCATGAAAGCAGGTTGGTTTAAGTGTTCTTGTGCTCCTGCTGCCTGACATCATTCGTGATAGAATCGTGACTT